ACCTAGTAGCGATGGCCTCCACCCTAGTAGCGATGGCCTCCAACCTAATTGCGATGGCCTCCACCCTAGTAGCGATGGCCTTCAGCCTAATCATAGCGATGGCCTCCAACCTGATAATAAGATCTTCCAATCTTGGAATTCTGAATGCAAGTTCTCTGTGGAGGACGGGATTTCGATCAAAACAGTGGAAGGCCTTGCAACATTCTATCTGCTCTACTTGTCGGCAGTACTGTTGGTTGCTACAGCTTCGTACATGCTGCGGTTGTTTCAAAAAACACAACTTTAACACCCATGCTGCTTAGACCTATACAACCAAAGACTGTTGCACCTCACGAAAGCTGGGCTTGGTAGAGGCATCGTGTCAAATCATGTCACTTCCAATCTTAATGGGCCACCAAGTGGGCTAAATGTGAGGAACGCATCTGTTCAATAACAGTTCATGTCCATAGCTTGCAGTAACAAAAACTGCTCACTGCTGCGCATTTCAACTACCAAGTTGCATCACACAAAACCAAAGCAAAGAAAATGCAGTTTGTATATGCTCGTAACTGCAAAAACTTACTGTAGTGAATTCTGCCCTCTCCCAACAGGTCGATCCAACATGCAACATGTTGCCCAACATGTTGCCACAATGTGGCCTCAAAATGCTTCAAGGGGCTTCCTGACTGTTTTGGAACTTTTTACAGGTCGAGCTTTCGGAGCGACCTTTGCAGGTCCCTTGCTTGGCCTCCGTTTTGACTTCGATTTCGGCGCCATTGCCTGAAAAAAGGATTGTCTGAAATGTGCTGTGAAGATGCTCAAAGCAACACAAAACCCACAAATCTGAAAACGTGGACAGGGGCCAGCTGAATGACCTGATTCAAGACGTTGGTAGCTGATAAACTTATAAAGTGTGTGGAAAGCAAACTAAGGGTACTTCCTCACAAAATAGCCAAGTCTCAGTCTCTGTTGACTTTGCCTTCTGTGCCACTCTTGCAAGTTCTTAGCAAAGTTTAAGCTGCAGCCACCATGCTCTAATTTGACTCACAAACCAATATCTGCGTCTGCAAACCCACGAATGCTGCTGAGACATAACATATCTTCATTGCCAGACTGATACGTGAGCATTTGATTCTTATAACCTTTTTCATCCTTTCTCTCTCTCTCTCTCTCTCGTGACTGGCGAATACAGTAAAGTCTGGTATTAACCACCCCAAACAAGCAAGCTCGGTACAGCCCTTGCTAGCTCTGTTCAGGTCAATAATTCCATGCACGGTTCCTAAAATACAAGAGAACAGTGGATCTGTGGCCAGAAACCCTCAGCAATCCAGCAATGCCCATCTGCAAAACATGCGACCAAGACACTGTCTTCGGAGCTACAAAGCCGGATGTCATAGCTTTGGCGACGTTCGGCATCTGCCAAGGTCTCAAATGCTTGGTACACGCGGTGGAAGGACTCCTTGCAGTGAAACATAGTCTCAACTATCTGAGCAAGAAAATCAGGTTCAATCATGCTGGGAATACAAGACCACGTCAGGTTTGCTGAAAAACAACATAACACAACTGTTGCTTCACCATTCCTGCCTTGCTGCCGCCCTTATCTGGGTGCACCTCCACAAAGCCAAAAGAAACAACCCTTCAGTCGATCAAACATAGAAACATCGGGGCTCCCCGGTACCCTCTATGATTTTTGAAAAAGCTCTTGTGATTCGAGCAAGATTGGTTCGACTAACTGACAGTGACATCGACTTGCTGATTGACTCCATCAAAGAGTGAGAGAAAAAACACTCAGCATTCATGTTCAAACATTATAATATATATATAAGGTATATTATGTATCTAACACCTGAGAGAGGAGAGGACGAAAGCCAGCGAGAGACCAATACGGTAGTGCAAAACTGGGAGGAAAAAATAGCGGAACACTTATTGTTGAATGCCTGTAGCTTTCGTGGAGCTTGTATCAACGTGGAGTAGATCAAGATCGGAGCACAGCATGAAGTGTTGAATGTTTTAGGTTTTCTCGATTTTCCTGGCGCGGTGCTCTGGAGCGTCCCTGTTTGGTGGTCTACTTGAGAATCCGTGTAAAAATAAACGTCAGTGAAGACCAGGAGAAGGATGCCCGAAAGGTGGCTTTTGGTTGTTTTGAAATGTGTTTCGGGCATCGTGCATCAATGCGAAGCCCTATAAAGAGCAGGGCTGGGAGAAAAAAAAGAGGAGAGCACTCATTCTTGAATGGTTGTAGTTTTCGTGGAGCTGGTATCACTGCGACGTAGATGAAGATCGGAGCACAGCATGAAGTGTTGAATGTTTTTAGTATTCTTGATTTGCTTGGTGCGGCGCCTTCTGGAGCGTCCCTTGTTGGTGTTCTACTTGACAATCCGTGCAAAAATAAACGTCAGTGAACACCAGGAGAATGATGCCCGAAATGGTTTTTGTGGTTGCGTTGAAATGTGTTTCGGGTATCGTGCATCAATGCGAAGCCCCATAGAGAGCAGGGCTGGAAGGAAAAAATAGCAGAGCACCTATAGTTGAAAGCCTGTGGTTTCGTGTGGAGCTGGTATCACTGCGACTGAGATCAAGATCGGAGCACAGCATGTTGAACGCTTGCAGCTTTCTTGCTTCTCCTCTTGCGGCGCTCTTATCCACAAGCCTCTAGCCTCTACCTCGCTCAACTGGACATGCTCACATCGTTCGCCCCCAGAGCGTTCACTCTTTGTTGCTTGGTCCTTCTTGGTATGATCAGAGCCACAGTCCCTATGCTCTGCTCAGGACTAGGAAAAATTGAAACCCCTTCATGATGCTAATGATGCACTACTCGGCGTCCATTGCATCACTCGCATCACCAGACCCCATTTTCACTGCTTTTCTGACCCTCGCTCTGGAGCGCTCTCCCCCACCAAGCTCCGGGTTCACCCTCTCAATTGGTGCCTTTTCGCGCCCTCCCCCCCCCACACCCCCTTAACTCACTTCGTTCGCTCTAAGAGCTCAAGCCTAGCCTATCGGCTGGCTTTCGTAACATGTATATAATCAATATATATATAATATATATATATATATGTACAGATTGTACAGCATATTGTTCACCACAGATGCTGTGAAGCCTCCAGTGCTCTTCTCTTAAAAGCTTGTCGGATCTCATCCACGTTTGCGCTCTGGGAGATGCAAAGCACCGCGTAGAAGTTTTGGCCCATGGCGACATTGGAGCTAAAGCTGCAGGCACCAGCTGGACCTTTATGTCAATTTCCTCTCAATCTGTGGAAAACGGTTGTGAGAAGAGTTATCTGGAAACAGGTTCTTGGTGTTCTTGCCTAGAACCAACGCTTTCAGTGAAGCTGTCGACACGAGCTTACACTAGCAGCACAACTTGTAGAGCGCGTCAAAGGAGTTGAGCATCAAGCTACAACGAATAGCGCAACAGCTCTTGCTAAACGCCCAGCCCCAACCCAGCAAAACAAAATCTGTCAAATATGAATCGCAATTCTTCTGCAATGTGCCCAAGGAACATCGAGAAAAAGAAACCCATGCAGTCGAACACAACCTTCCGAGAAGGCTGAGCCTTAATCTAAGGGAACAAAAAGGCATACGGAACTCCGATATGTCACGCAGATCCGCTTGATCTTTGGTTGAAGAGTGCGCAAAGTGGTGTACAGGGAGTTGCAAAAGGTTCAATCGCAGGCCTGATTGGTTTGCGTGTTCCACCAGTAGTGCTGGCCCGATGGATCTTTCACCTGTGGAGTAGCCACTGCAATGAGAAAAGGTGGATGAGACACTTGAATGAACAACCCAATAGGAATGGCCTCCAACCTAATAGCGATGGCCTCCACCCTACTAGCGTCCTTGCTCCTAGTAGTAATGGCCTCCACCCTATGCTGCATGCTATTGGATGCTCCCTAACAAGCAACACACCAATCCGACTTCCTAAGCGTCCGTTTCCTGCATTCAACAGGTTCATTCTGTCCAACAGTGGAACCAAATCATGAGTGTGAGCGCTTGTTCAAGGAAGCTCCCCTCTTTTGAAAGCAGGGAGAGCTTCCTTGAAGAAGCGTCAGCTATCCTGCGTCCAGTATGTAATAGCTCGAGTAGCTAGAAGCTTCCTCCCTTACTTAATTGACTAGGCGCAAAAAAGAACATACTAAAAACTACTAGGAGCAAGGACGCTACTAGGGGCTCCTGGCCTTACTACTAGGAACAAGAAGCTACTAGGGGCTCCTGGCCATACAACTAGGAGCAAAGGACTCTACTAGGATCAAAGGGCACAGTCTTCTGGGCGCCTGTTGCCATGGATCTGGTCCAGGCTTGGGAGCACCAACCGCTGTGGTCTGACGAGATGAATCACGGTCTGTCCAACGCTGTGGTCTGACGGTCTTGTTCAGCCAGTTAATCAAAACAATGATCTGCTGCATGTTACTAGAAGCAAGAATGTTCCTAGTAGCGATGCCAGGAGCCCCTAGAAGCTTCTTGGTACTAGTAGTAAGGCCAGGGCCCCTAGTCTCGTCCTTGCTCCCAGTAGCGATGCCAGGAGCCCCAGCGATGCCAGGAGCCCCTAGTAGCTTCTTGTTACTAGTAGTAAGGCCAGGGCCCCTAGTAGCGATGCCAGGGAGCCCCTAGCAGCTTCTTGTTACTAGTAGTATTGCCAGGGCCCCTAGTAGCGTCCTTGCTCTCAATAGCAATGCCAGGAGCCCCTAGTAGCCTCTTGCTACTAGTTAGTAGTAAGGCCAGGGACCTGTAGCGTCCTTGCTCCCAGTAGCGATGCCAGGAGCCCCTAGTAGCTT